TTATTCAGTGGATGGGTCATGTGTCGAAAAAAAGCCCCCCCATGTAACAGTCTTGCTTTTGAAAGACCGCTTTGGTGACGCGTGAATGGACATGATCCCAAAACAAAAAGCGAGAGATGCCATGAGGTGCCCATCTGCGGCCCATCAATTAGAACGCATTCTCTACCCGCCCATCCGCGGCCGAAAACGCCAGTGGCTGCTTCAACCGATTTTTGGTCCCCATTCCACGGGCCTTTCGTCTCGTTTCGTGGGTTTTTCCGTGCCTTTCGTCGCGCCGGAGCGGTCTAAAAAGCAATGGAGCCTGACGAGCAATGGAGCGGTCGAGTCTGCCATGAGTGCCTGATGGAGCGGATCTCATAGAGGTCTATCCAACGAACATCTATGAACAAACAGCTTAGAACATTCTTTCTTTCTTTCTTTCTTTCTTTCTTTCTTTCTTTCTTTCTTTCTTTCTTTCTATGCGCTCTGTCTGTGTCCTAAGACTCAACGCCTTGCTGAGGTGAATTATTAATTCAAACAGCTAGAACACTTCAAAAAGACAAACTTTACGTGTTGCTTCCATACAAATCTGATGAATCTCACAAGCATGTTTTAAGCGAAATGCCCACACACGCAGAGTGTGTAACAATGACCCCATCCTCTCAGACAAAACCAGGGTCTCCCATCAATCTGTGGTGAAGCAAGATGATGATGGGATAATCCTATTTCCAGTTGGGCGGCTTCAGGAGCTTGCCAGAGTGTCAACCTCAACAAGAGAGCCAAAAGACACAAAGAAGTGCAACCGACACATACGAAATAGAAAAGACTCCTCCTGGAAAATTGAAAAAGTCCGCTTTTGGCAGACTCCTACTGAATAGTTCTGGTTGCCTTCGCTCGTCATTTGGTAAGAAGCACAAGCCAAACAAGATCCAGTCTCCAGTCCAACCACAACAAAACACACCATTTAGGCGGCCCCAGTGGACAAAATGGAGAATATTGGATTGACAATGGATTGTCTACGGCACGACCATAGAGCAATATGAACGCAACATGGTCCGTCTGTGGCCTCACTTTAGAGATGTAACAACCCGTGAGAGGCCTACGGCTTCGCCATTTGCCCACTTCAAGACAATATTCTGAACAGAGCCTAATTGAAGGCACCAAGGATACCATGACAACTACCATGACAATTCAGCTTCCCTGTCAAAGCAAAAACAAAGGGTGAAACCAAAAAACACCACTTCTTCGAACCACCCAAAAACGGTCCACGTGACCTCGCCCTGCGCTCCAACCTCCCCGCGTTCCGCATCCGCGTTCCGCGTGGTCCGCGTCCCGCCTGCAAAGCGCTCGAGATGGATAGCTGGGACACCACACCTCGGCGCTCGGTGAGAGCTCCGGTGCTCGAGGTCAGCGTCCCTAAGTCAGTCACGGGGACGTGCTGGTCAAACCAACCACTTGGCACCCCTGCGCAGGCATAGGAGCTTCCCACGCCGGGCGGTTCCTGGAGCGCCACGCCGAACGGGCTCTTCCAGATGCGAGGCTCCAAGCACCCGAGATGGGTTCAAAATCCGGGCAAAAAAAAGCCCGGACATGTCGTTCTTCACAACCCTAGGGATCCAGTCGTACCTCCTCAAAAGGTACGACTGGACCCTCCTGGCACCCACCCCAAACACCTTCAGAGGGTACTTGGATCCTTAGGGCAACATTTCAATGTTTCTCCAAAATCTGAGCCCAACATGTGCCCTTTTCATGGGTGCAAACCTGCCGTCGTTCGACGCAGAATGCAGCTTGCAGCGCGAAGAGCAAGCCTTTATCATAGGAGGGCTCATCTGGCATTTCATCAGCATATCTATGCATATCTCATATCTCCCAGAATCAAAGGGTGCGCGTACCCCAGCACCCAGAGCCCAGATTGCTTGGACATCAAGTGACCCCTGCGAGATTTGAGCGGGTATTCTGTATGGCTGGTGCTGTAGGGGCCGCAAGGAAATCACCACAAACTTTTACACAAAAGAGTTAGTCTACTTCAGGATGAACAACACCTGGATGAACCTTTGACCATCTCAATCTCTCCGTCCGCCGTTTCTGTTACTTCGGCCCGTCCTGCTGCCCACTGATGGCCAAATCCAGCTTTGGGGCGAGTGACAAGCAAAGCACGTCCGCGTTGTGGCCCTGACCGCCGACCCGATCCGCCCTGACCGTCTCCCGGCGTTTGAGACCGACCCGACCCGAACCGGGAGGCGAGAGATGGGGATGGATGGAAGACGATGTTCCTCTGCAAACCATGTGCTTTTTCAGATTCCATATTGATCTTCCATGGGCGTATATGGCCCAGCATGTGAGTTCCGAACAAGGATGCCAACGGCCGAAAAAAGCTTCGGCCACCGACTCGATCTGGGCGCTGCGGCACGGTTTTGTGGCCGGGGAGTTGGTCAGGAGACAACGAGTGATCTGTATTCACAAACGTATCAAACAATACATTGGATAGAAGAACGGGCTCACCCCTGGGGTGCCTGATCCTGGAATTACAAATTCAAGACAAGTGTTAGAAAGAATCCAACATGTTTGTTCGACGCGTCCAAAAACTGTCCCAAACCACCGTCAACCCTGGCCCTGTCCTGTCGTTTCCCACTTCTTGATCTTATTCAGAGAGTGATGGTCTGTCCACTTTCACAAATGCACTCCTGCACTGTCCTGCACTGAAAAAGATCAGCCAACATTCCGATCCATATAACTCCAATGTTTTACCCACCCCGAGACATGTGCATCAAACGGTCTTCTGGGTAGTCCAATCTGGTGGACGGCAAGCTACCAGGAGTTCAGGATTCTTGACTGCTGACTCCACTCCAACCCAGGCAGAAAACCGCCTCAAAGTAGGTCTGCCTTGGCTGCAACAAATCCTCGCCGGAGTGCTTATCTGTGCGAGGGAATTGGAGCGAATCCACTTTCTTGAATAGATAAACCATGTCCCAAACATAGGTGCACTTGAACCGATCATTTGGGTATTATGCACTGTCACATTGAAGTTACAGTAACCCAAATGATCTGTTCATATCTGTTCAATATGGGCCGAAACCTTCGGTCGGTGACTTCCTGGCATTCAAAAAACATGTCCGAGGCTTTAGCCATCTTGAGCCTATGAGTCCCAGTTACAAGTTACCACTACAGGTATATATACCCCAAGCCCCACCCACATTGGCATTCAATAAGAGACACAAAACCCGAAACCAAAGAGACACGTTTCTTAACGCTTGTGGGCCTTGTCTGTGGCCTTATGGACCCCGCGACGGCGAACGGAAGATCATGCACGGCCCAGCAAGGCCCGGTGTTCGGCTGTCTTGCCGTCTGGCCAGAGGACAAGCTGGTCCTGAATAAGGGTATCAAGTGTCCGGCTTTGGTTTCCAGTCCTTTGCATCCAAAGACTATACCAGCTGTTGGTGGATTCCCTCAATGCCCTGAGTGAGGAAAAGACCAACCGCAACTAACTCTTTGAGCCCCCAATCCACACGTCCTCGATAATGCAAAGCCTTGCTGCGATGTAGACCTAGGTTGGAGTTGGTGGTGAGGGTCTCCTCTTTCGCTGTGCTTAGGATGGCATGGGCCGGGCTGTGTTTGAGCAAAAGTGTTCAACTCACTGAGTAGGACAACATAAAACATCTGAGATCTAGCTTTCTATACCAGTACCCGAAGCTTGAGGCTGGGTTTAAGCTTGCAAAAAGGTTCTCGGTATTATCCAATGGTTTCTTGGGAGGGTGAAGCTCTACTGAGAGCTGGTCTGTTTACAACATGGCTTCAGAATCGATTCCACAATGTTCATCAAATCACTCTAGATCTTAATGCTTAAAAATGTTATATATATATAATATGTATCTATGTGCGTGTCAAACCACGCAAAACCAATCCACCAAACCTGTCAGGTGACGCCTCGCTCTTTCGCTCCCTGCACACCCGCCAAGGCACACAGCGCCCGTCCATGGTGAAATGCACGCTCTGTGGTGCTGAGCCATCCATGCCATAGACGTGCTCCCGGACCAGCTGAAGCTCCGGCGCCTGACCACGAGGCGAACGAGGCCCGGGTTGACCAAGCTCGGACCCGGCCGACGCGCGGACCCGGCCGGCGTGGGACCTCGGTCGGGAATGAAGTCCGGGTGAAAAATGCTGGTGGAAGCGAAGTCCGGTGGAATTCGAGATTTGAAGGGAAAATGTTGCTGGAATAGAGTGATATGTATATATAATATACATATATATAGTTAAATATGTGTATATATGTATATACATACAGAGAGAGAGAGAGAGATTGATTATCAAAGAACAACACTTGGAAGATCTGATGAGGTTTCTCCAGTCACATCCTCAATTCTCAAACCTCACATCCAGTGGCTGCAGGACACCCCATGCTTATGCTCGAGGGTCAAAGGAGGAATGGCAATTCACCTCACCCACTTGTCTCCCAGAACCGAATTTGCTGCTTCTGCATTTCTGTATAGTTCTGTCTATAGTCTATAGTGGGGAGACCCCTGGTGCCACCCCACCTTCAACTCCATGATAAATATATAAATACTGATGGCATCCGATGGCCAAATACTGGACACAAGGACCTGTCCAGTCTCTTACCGAACGCCTTCGCGCAGTTCTTGTCTGGCTTCCAGGTGGAAGGAGCATAAACCATGAGCCGATGCCTTGGTCCAGAAGGATCCATGGAAAAGCGGATGAGTCTAGCGTTGTGCAAAGAAAATGCAAAGGAAACCACATCTATCAAGTATTGGTAAGCCAAGATTGTTCAGGAAATCTAGCAGGATTGGTTCATCCTAGCTTGGCGGATCAAGTATTGGTTTAAGCTAGATTTCATCTTGTTCTGCAAACCTTTGAACCAATCCTGCTTGCCTTTGGGCGCCAAAGAAGCTCCTGCCCATCTAGTCTTTTTGTAAAGCCCTTAAATAGCAGAGTCCTACTGGGCCTCAAGGAGGGAGTTGATCATTGCCTGATGCAAAAGTGCGAACTCCTGCACGCAGTCAGCACACTTTTTCTTTCAAACAAGCTGAGACTTCTAGCGCACTGCTCGCAACAAGCTATTGCTGCAAAATGGTCGCCAGGGTGTGTGGGTTAAACTTGTGGCAAGCAGCCTCTGGACGCGCATCGATTCCGCCCAAAAAAGAACGGGCGTGGACGCGCATCCTCCCACCAATCGATCGATCTTCACGACCGATCGAAGAAAACTCATCGCACTTGTCCAGTGATGTATCCCAGGACCGCGCGGATCGTGGGATGATCCAGGAACAAGGTGGGCGGCAGCCTGAGAATCGGAGTGATGCCGCTCGCGGCTTCGCACTGCTTTCGCTTCTTCGGACAGGTTGATGAGCCGAAGAAGACCAGAAGATGGCCATATGGTTGGCCCAAGATGTTTTGCAATACTGGTTGGCTATTAAAGAAGGAGATTCAAAGGTATTGTGAGAATCCTTCCCAATCATGTAGTCTCTTCCACCAACTGCACCCAGGTGCCCAAACAGGAGAAAATATGTGTAGCATCTTGTAGCCTTGCTCAAAACAGGAAACCACTGTTCTTTTGAGTCAACAGTGTGCTCAAAGAGCACTGAGCACAGCAAGTCTTTTTCCGATGCCGTCCCGTATCCAAAAACCCATCCGTTCCACACGCGAAGTGACCCTCTTTCTGGTCCATTTGCAAGGCCTCTGTTTGGCTATGTTTGGCTTGTTTGGCTGTACCCCTCCCTGCAGGCCTCGGGACTGCATGGTTTTGTGGAGGTCCCTCTTCAAACCCTGCTTGCGTCGGGGCGAAGGAGCCTTCACTTATCCAACGGGCTCAGTGGCGATGGAAAGACAGGGTCAATAATCTCCCAATGTATCCCTGTCAGCACTCCTCAAGATAGACCAACAACCCCTACACTGAGACTTCGAAATTATGGAAAACATGTAACTGTAACCAAATACCGATTTCCCTCCAAGTGCCCCAAGCATGAATTTCATTGCCGCGTCGTCCAGTGAAGCACATCGCACAGGTATCGGATATAGATGAATCCCGCACTGGAGTTGGGAGACTTATGTCTCCGCTACTCTGACAAGCCCCAGGTTCACTTATCCAACGGACTTTGCCTCAGCCCGCCTCCCAACCCCTCGTGCCCCTTTGGTACCAAGTTCCATACTGCCCACATCTCATTTACGCAATCATTTCGTTCACCAACGAGTCGTTGGACATGAAATCATGTCTCCACACATCTGACATCATCTGACTCTTGCCAAACCCACAGGGCCAGCAGCTTAGCTTTCTGCAGCGAACAAAACCATCACTTCCACGGCACCACCCGTCACCCGCGCGCGCGGTCGCACCACGGTTTGCCGTGCCTGATGTGTTTCACCTCACGCTGGAGCTCATCCCGGAGCAAAACCGCCGCGCCACTCGTGAGGCCCAGCTCGCTAAGAGGAACTTCCAGGGAAACGTCCTCCGGGGAGGGCAAAGCCAGCAAGATGTTCGCCAGCTCCTGGAAGTCGCACGGTCTCTGGGAGAACGGTTTTTGATCGATTGGGCTGGGTGACAATCGGGGAGGTGGTAGGGATGATCGATAGTGGAACGTGGTGAGGAGGATGGTGAAAGTGTAGGAGAGCGTTTCGTGGATGAAGATGGCGGTTGGGCATGGGATGATGCTGCTGGGTGATGCTGTTGGTAAGCTAAGCTGGCGAAAGCTGGGGACAGGTGTTAAGATGCTGGGCACGTTGGGCAAGAGTGCTATTTTGTTTGTCAGTTGTCATTGGAGAGAACACTTTGCATCACTTTGCGGGGTAGCTTCCAGTCTATAAACCAAAACTCACACACATCTCCAAGGAGTAAGCACTATGTCATATCAGTTCAATTTATTTATATATTGGTTTTAAAGTCTTTTGAAGTACTTGGATGGCGCGGTGCTCAAGAGACAGGTCTGATATGGCTCTGATCAGCGTCTCGGCGCCGCACTCGACCAAGCTGCTAAGCGAGGAGCGACCGTATTTTGCCGTGGCATGGGGAAGAGTTTCTTGAGTCGTTCAACGGGTGACCCAAACTGTGGGTCTATCCTAATTATTACGCCTATTACCAGGTTTCAGTGGATGATGATGCCCTAAACATCCAAGTACCCTCTGAGAAGGTGGGACTGGGGTGGGTGCCGGGAGGGTCCAGTCGTACCTTTTGAGGAGGTATGACTGGATCCCTGGGGATGGTTTTAGTTAAGACCTTGTTCCATAATAGTGATCATATGTGATAATTAATCGTTTACTGACTAATTACAGGTAATAGGACAAACCCAACCTATATACACTATAAAGTAGCAGCTGAGTAGCAGCTGATTGACCGGCCATTTGTTGTTTCTTTTTGTAGGGCACTTTGGGTTTAAAATGGTTTCAATATGTTTCAATTCTGGTGGATGGTCAAATCTGGGAGCAGTGGGAGGGTTTTAGACTCGACCATCCCTGTTCAAGAGATTCGTCTTTCGAAGACGACTTTCAAGGATAGCACCTGATTGGCCTATACATAAGAAGTCATCATGTGCTACAAAAGACCTCGGTCAACCCCAGGGAGCATTGCCTCAACCATCCTGAACCATTCTGGCCCATTGAAGCACAATTCGCTCCTGAATGCGTTGTTTCAGGTGCTCATCCTCCTCCCTCAGCATGGTGGACGTCAAGAAGCCCTTACGCATTGCCGGCCCCGGCCGCAGCATCCCATCGCCATTGTGCCCACCACGTTGCTGCTTGGCGCAGGAACAGGAGGCTGCACCACAGTGAAGGCATCTGCCTGGGTAGGCGTTCTCATCCTGCACACGTGAATCACTGGCAACACGGGACGCGGACATGAAGCCGGAGATTCATCAAACTGGGTGAAAAGTGGCTGCTCAGCATCTTGATCCTAGGCATCCACATACCTTCTCAGAAGGTACGACTGGGCCTGACAATGGCACCTACATAAATAGTCTCCCTGCTCACCTCAGGTTCGGTCTGTGGATCATTAAGGAACTGCCGCTACTAACCTACTGACCCGGTCTGTGGGTCGTTCTGAGGTCCGAAGTGATCCGTGCGCTCCGGAGTGACCGGTGCCTCTCGGTTGCAAGGCCAAGGCCATCGACCTGGTGCCTCTGCCCCAGCCATGCCGAAAAAGATCGAATACCCGAGTACAGTACCAACATATATACCTATCTCTACTCTCTTTCCAGGAAACAGAATCCAAACAGCTCGGTCACGCCCCTCAACCGCTCCGCCCATCGACATCGCTCTCAACTCCCCGTGACCGTGCGGTGGCCCGCGCGGCGGCCACGTCCTGTTGGGGCCTAGATGAAATCTCTCCCAAGGCCGCCAACATCTCCTTGCAGTTGCGAACTTCCAAAAACCACAGATCCAACATCATTCCGGGATACTTCAGAAAGTAAAAGGCACTTCAGCTACTGTGGAGAAGCCTTCCGTAGACCCCAAACAGTTTGTGTTTTCAATATCGGAACACTCTGCAGCTAGAGCTTGCGACGTCCAGAGCTCGGAGACAAAGGATTGCAAGGCAGAGGCGGCCACAGCAGTCCAGAGCTGGGAGACAAATGTAGACACAGGGAGAAAAGTGACAATACAATGTAAAGGATTGCAAGCGACACGCAGCCCAGAGCTGGGAGACAAATGTAAAGGATTGCAGGGCAGAGCAGCTGGGAGACAAATGAATACTGGGTTCATGTCTCAGCTGGGCCGAAAAATTTTAAGGGGATTGGGTCGTTTGCACTGCTGCATTCCTGAGATGTGGTAGCCGCTTCTCGGCTTCCTCTCCGGAACAACGCCCTAATTCTCTGATCTTTTTCCACGTCTTTGCCGACGGTACGTCAGGTCTGCGCAGGCAGGTGAAGCAAGCCAACGGCCTGGCCAAGTTCAAGAAAAAAGAGAACTGCCTTCACCAGCCAGCTGAATTGGACTTCTGGGGAATACATAAATACCAAGACCAAGTTGTTGAAAACACAAAAGAACCATCTAGATGGAGTTCATCTTCAGATGAATCTGCTTGGTTGCAATATTCAAGCATCATGGCTGAGTTCACCTTCAGGTGAATGTGCTTGGTTGCAATGTTCGAGCTTCATGATTCATCTAAATTCAATTCTGATCGGCTAGCCTCATCAAGGCCGCCTTCTCCTTTTTCTTGCCACGCGCAAACGTATGCTTGCCCCCACCCCAAATTGTTGAGCTGGACCATGGACCTTGGACCTTGAGCCAGGGACCGCATGGACCTGCCGAAACACACCCTCAGCATTCTGCTGATGGGTTGAAGGTGAAAAAGAACCTAGCTGGAGCCCCTCTGCTTCATCCACTTCCTGGCCTTAGGCTCTGGGTGACAAGCTGCCAGCACAACAGAGCGCCAGCTGGAACAATGCCACAGACGGGCGTGCCAATGACTGGAAGATTTCTGACTTTTCGCAGAGGTCAAGGTGGACCATTGCGCGCACCATTCCGAAATAGTTTGCTTGGAAGATCTCTGCCGCAAATCAAAGGGCTTCATGAGCATGAAGCCGGAGCAGACTTCAAACAGGACGCAACCAAAAGACCATAAATCAATAGATGGGTTTAGAGCGCTCTGCAAGGATCGCAGGTCACGAGTCATGTGCCAAAGCTCCGGTGGCCGGTAAGGAAGGGAAACGTATTCATTGTACCTTGGCTGTTCCACCACGCCCTGCGCAAACACCTCTGCAAGGCCAAAGTCACAGACCTTGACTTGAGCAAGCTGTGCGCACCATAGGATATTCCCTGGCTTGATGTCCAAGTGAAGCAAGCCAGCCTGGCCATGCAAGGTCTGAATTGCAGCCTGGAGCTGCAAGGCGAAAGGCTGCGCCAGCTCGGGAGCAAACGCACCATTGGCACTCAGCCAGGCATGCAAGCTAGCCCCTTCAAAAGACAGCGCAACCCATGGAAAGGGCACGCCTTTCACATCGGCATTGAGCATCTCTGGGAACCACCGTTGCTGGGACTGAGTCAGCTGGCCAAGTTTGTGGTACATGGCCACTTCATGCGTGGCATCGTCTGACCCATCTCGCTTTCGATACACTTTGATGGCGCATGCCCTGCCATTGCCGCACCTGGAAGGAAAGACCTGTCCATATGAACCACCATCTGGGCTACGACCATCTACCTGGTCCATCACTGTGAATGGGCCAACTTTGAACTTTCTTGATTGCGGAGGTAGCGCATGTTTGGAAGGAGCAGGCCCTTGTGGAAGCTTTTGTCGAACATTGAGGCCAAGACGCATCATGGCAGCATGCTGAGCTTGGAACTCCTGTTGGCTGCGTGCCTGGTATGCTTCCTTTTGCTCGTGGTCAAGGTCAGACCACAATTGACCCATCTTCTTCATGTCGTCAAGGAACTGTTGTTTGGTTCCCCCCTGGCCTTTTCGCAGTGTGCTGTGCTCCATCAAGAACAATGCAAAGGCTTTCCGAGCTTTTGGGACCAAGCCCTCCTGAATTGCCCTGGAGCGTTGGCTCTTCACTTTGAGGACCTTGGACCGTGGACCTGACTGTGGCCTCAAAGAAGTCTTGCACCGGAGCCGCTTGGTTGGAATGCCCCCAGCAACCATGGCCAGCACCAGCAAGAAGTTCAGACCCCGTACCCCTATATCACCGCTGCTGGAGGAAAAGTAGGCGCGATCAAGCACGGTCAACGCCGGGCACAGACTAGCACACGGGACACGCATGCACCAAGAAACTTGTTGGATGGATGTATTAAATAGATTGCACTACCCTTAGATGTCTGCAGCGAACCCTCCAAAGCGAAACTCCGACCGCATCCTTTTTTCAAAGGTATGTCCACGGCATCGAAAGGTGCTGGACAAGGCCAACAAATCAAAACTTGGCAAGGTCACCTGCTACCTGTGGGTGCTGGAGCGCTCACACGACCCATGCTGATTGACCGTTGACTGTGGACCATGGACCGTGAACCTGGGACCACCTGACCTGTCATTGCTCCTCCGTCACCCATCATACCTTGCTCTGCTCACTCAATGGGGCTCCCTGGCTCCAAAGGATCTGAGTCCTCATCGTCCTTGCCTTTTGCAAGGCTGGCCAGGATATCTGGAAAACACTTCTTCACAGACTGCGCAGTTTCCTCCGAAAACAAGGAGCTGCCTTCTACTGCCATCAGCCCACACGCTGCCCGGTCGGCAATAGCTTGTAGCCACTGCAAATGCTCCTTGCTGTGACCTTGGCCGCAAAGCTCTACAGCAAAGAAGCCCTGTTTCACACCATGGGGCCTTCCAACTTAGAAATTTGGTGGGGTGTCCAAGTTTGCCTGTCTTGAAATGGACGGCCTCCATGCACTAGAGTCACTATAGCGTTCAACTTGTATAGTGGATGGACGCATGTATGGAATAGGTGTGTCCCCTGATCACGGCATTATACGGCATTCATTGGAACACAGAACTTTGTTAACTCAGCACTCTCCTTCCCATGTTTCTGTATCCCATGTAGTTGGCAAGCACCCAGCTAGCTAGTCTATACAGCGCAGCATCTCTGCTTGAGGAGCCTGGTAGAACCTGGCCGATGACAACCGGTGGACGGATCAAAGAACTGAGTGTCTGACAGAGGCCGTGATATAAAATACCACGCGTGAGCGCAGCTTCGCACAAAGCACCGCTGCCAGGACTCAGGTCCATGATTGCTTGCACCTTCCAATCGTCCAGCAGCGCGATCCACAGCGCAATTGGCTTTGACTCCTGCCAGTAAAGCGGCACATCCTGGCCGTTCTTCTCGTCCCACTCGTCCGGCAAAGTGGGTGGCGATAGTACCCTCTTGGGGTCAAGAATCTTCAGCTTGTCGTCCTTGGCAATGAGTGGCATTTCATTGATCGATCTGTATTCCACACCAGTGTAGGTTCCCTGGTAAGTGGACTCTTCACCAGTGGCATTGAAAGCCTCTTTGCGCGTGGCTTTGATGCGGTTTCGCTGTACTGGGCACCTTGTGGCCGCAGTTTCGACCTTGCGGGCTGACAGCGGCACCCTGCGGCTGCGCCCTGTCCGTGGCGGGCACCCGCCGGTAAAAACCACTGTGAGCTCGCTGGTGTGTGGTTGCGTGAGCAACTCATCCTCCTTGAGCGAATCAAACATGGACTTTTGGGCATGGGCCATGGACTATATATAGGACCTGTATAGGAAAGCAGAGGGTCATTGAAAGGAGTTATCAAAAGTCTCTCAGCTTAACATCAAGGAACGCTCCACCGACGCACCTCGCGCATCCGTCCATCGAAGGCCATGATGAAATCAGCAGGACCACTTGCAGTAGCTGCCATAAATCCCACCATCTCCTTCCAAAGCGCTTGCGGTGGGACTGATGCCATGGCCCATGGCTCCTCGCCCTGTTCCACCAGAAGGTCTGCGGAAGCTACGAACAGCCTGTGGCTCGTGTTGAGGACCCCGCCATGGGCAAAGACTTTTCCGCATCCACGAAAAGAGGCCAGGAATGCATCCTTTGTCATAGCTCGTGGGACACTGAAGCTGGCCAGCTTGCGGCGCTCTGATTGGACAGTCTTCCATGCTCGCTCCCGTTCAAGGTCTGCTTCAGCGGTGGATCCTCCAGTGGCAGTCAGTTGGCTTAGCAAGGTGGGCGCAGGCACTGCGGTGCTTGCAGAGACAGACTTGGTCGCATGGCCTTCAAACAAAGTTGTGATCAGGTGCAGCTGCTTCAGAAGCTCCACAGCATCATCTGCATGCTCGCCTTGGACCTCGGCCAAAGCTTTCACCAGACCTGCAGGTTGGGCCGCTATGTGCTGACAATCAGCAAGGTGCTTGCCCGAAACTAGCTCCAAGAGAAGGTCAAAAAGCATCCCTGTTGCTTTGTTGAAGCTTTCCTTGACAGAGGCCATGGGGCCAGCAGGAACAATGACGACGCCCTCCTCATCCTCCACATCATCCTCGTGAAAGCAGTCCGGCAAAGATGATTTGTCCCCTGGCCTCAAGAACTTGTCCCAGCAGCTGCATGGATCCAGCAACTCGTCCAACACCTTTGCAGCCTTGTCAGCGTCAGCCTCAGGAAGCCGTGCCAAGAGCTTGTCAGCATATTCAAATACCTTGGCGGGGCAAGGGCCGGTGGAATTATGGATCTATTTTTTAGTCCGCCCGGGGGCTACAGATTAAATCAACCTTTTGCAACACTCAAAAGCACAGTGCCTGGAGAACCACGGCCGCAGCTTGCCAGAAACCAGGGAGGCCTGTCTTCCGATCCTTGTCGAGCCATTGTTCTGTTGCTTTTGCTGGAGGCCGAAGCTTCGTCTGGAAAGCTAGCACTAGCATGCGCACCAGCCATGCCACGAACTCATAGGGTGAAGTTGGACCGTGGACTCTGGACCATGAAC